TTATGTTAAAACTAAAAAATTAAATAGCTAATTATAAGTAAATCAAATAACATTTTTTTAAGATCCACTTACCATCGCCAATCAATTAGGCTTGTTTAACGTTCGCCTGATAAATTTTTGCCAGAAAGGAAAAGAATACAGGCGGGTTGATAGAACTATTCAAATTTTTTGAAAAGGTTTAGTATAAACCTAGTATTCGCTCGTAGATACGTGAGCCACAACCCTCTATGCCACTCTATCCTTTGATATAAATAAATTTCCGAAAAATTTTTCGAACTTGTTTTCGATGAGATTTCTCAAGAATTTTTTTTTTCCTAAACGGATTTTTCTCTTTAAAGGTTTTTATCAGATCATTATCTGATAAAATATTAATTCTAATTCTAAACGGATCAAATATATAGATTTAATGGCTCATAATTAATTCTTTAAAAGATAAAGATACAATTCATAATTTTCTTAATTTTCTTAAAATAATTTAAAGGACAGATGTTTTCGATATTTGGCATTATTCTTTTCGCGATAAATGAATAAATTATAGAGAATGAATAAATTAGGACGAATTTGCGCTTTTTGTAATTGAGATATTTATTGAAAAATCCTAAGCATATACAATATTAGTGGTACTTGTGCTTCTTTCTATCTCTCAAAATGATTTTCTTCCAAAAATAGGTTAGTCGGGTATGCCAAACCAGGCAGTGCTCTAATAAGAGACGCAAATTTAATCGAATCGACTATAAAGGATACAAAAAATTTGAGATAAAACTTTTATTATCCCAAAAATAAGACTTTGTTCTATTCATCATTTTTTTCTATCACATCTTAAATTCCTCATTTGGTTAACTTTCATTGGCTATCAGAGTGAAACTCTTTTTGGCCAAAGAATTCGTGAACATAACATTGTCTGCGTGGCAAAAAATAATTCAGAATTGAAATTTCAAAAGATAAAATTTTTTTTTATTTAAAAGGCGTGAATCGAACCACATAATACTCGGACTGATGATCAATATACGCCACTTAGCAATTACTACTCAATTTTAGTTAGTAGGGGAGTAATTCAGTCTAAAATTATATATAATTTAGAATGAATGAAAAAAAAAGATTTATGCTGCTGAAAAGTACGATTAGCATTGCAGAATTTTGAACGATTATTAAAAATATATTAGCTGATTTAGAAATTTCAAAAATTTTTTATAATAGCTATTTTAATGATTATTTATATTATAATTCCTACTGTTATTAATATTTATTGTTATAATTTTTATTATTGTTTATTGTAATTATGATTATTATAATTAGTAATGATGAAATAAAATAGAAAAGCTCTAATAGCATATAAAGAAATTGAAAAAAAATCATATCTATTGACCATGCGAATTAAGATTGAATAGAACGAAATGAAATGAAATCTGCTATGAAATTTAACGGAATTTTAGTCGAATGACTGAAAATAATGAAAAATGAAAATATAAAAAAAATTATAATAAAACATAAAAGCAAAATATAATAATTTATTTTTTAATATATGCCTCCTTTCATTTTTTTGGTTACTAAAATAATTTTTTTCTTCATTTTTTCCTAAATTATTCATTTGTATTGCAAAATTCAATTTATGCTATTCCATTAAAATTTTTTTGCTTGTTAAAATATATGATTATTACAATTATCGCTTAAAGTAAATTTTATAAATATTGGCAAAATTGTCATTAATCAAAAATATCCGAATGGTACTTTAATGGCGCTACAGAATCACTTGAATTTCTTTTGTCATATTTGATTACTTCACTACCAAATGATCTAAGAAGCGAAAAACATTTCTGTTTCCGCTTGAATTATTTCAACGATTAAAATTTTTCTTAGATTTCTAAAATGACCTCATGTGGAAACAATTTTTAAAACGAAACGTATTATAAATTTTAAAAAAAATTGTAAAATTGGAGGTAAATACAATGATAAACCACGTCCTTGACGCCATATTTCATCAATTCATCAGCTTCACTTAGTTAAAATTGATAAAAAAAATTAGCGAAAAAAAGGACTTAGAATTTTACCAACTTATTTGCAAATATTAAACAATTATATGAATTTTTAAATTGGCATCGATTGAATGCCGAATGTAAGAAAAGTTTTGATTTTTCATTAAATTATGCAAAATAACAAGATATAGGAATTTGAATATGCATTATTTGAGAAGGCATATTTGTGTCCAAAGAAAAAAATTTAAGAGGACATTTGTCCAAAAAAAGGATATCACAAGAATTGCAATAATGATATAATAATGATAATGAGCTAAATCTTCTGAATTAAATCTATATTGAGCCAAATCATCTAAATTAATTCTGAAATTGGGAAAATTTTAAGTTAGGCTCGTAGGCCTACAATCTATTTCTTCAGTACTTATTTTATAAAATTCTTCTATATTTTTGCCAGTTTTTATGAAATAACTAGCTTTGATTATACAAAAAAGATTGTGAATCCATAACCATTATGTCCTATCCGGTTATTATACGTTCCAACAATGTTCACTATTATTATTATACGATTCCATAATTTGCCCATATAAATATACAATAAATTTGTTTCAGGATAATATTTATTTTCCAAAATATAATAAAAAAATAAATAACATTAAAAATGAAGTTTCCAAGAGTGCAGAAAAATCGCTGCAAGAATATTTTTAAAAAATTCAAATAGGCCATTAAAAAAGAAAAAAGATATAAAAGAATGTTATCAACGAAATTTTTCGAGACGTAGGCGGATAATCATAGATGGAGGGGTAGCAATGTTATTCAAATAAGGGATTTAAAAGAATTTTGACAGAATTTGGCTAAATTCTGGAGGAGGAAATCAGCGAGTTTTTTTTTTCTTCAGCGTAGGTTTTATACAAAATTATTACAAATGCTTATTAGAAAATAACCACAAATTTTTGCGAATTTCTGATTAGTGAATACAAAAAATGGTAACGAAGAAAGCTTAAAATGGCTAAGAATTTTCTTTAAACTAAACAAAATTGAATTGGAGAAATTCAAAAACTTTAAAAAAAAAAAAGGAATGCAGCAAAATAAGAAAATTATACGTCGTTAGAATGCTTTATTAGCCAATAAATATATAATTAATTATTAAAAATTCCGATTGTATTTAACGTTTTATTAATTCAGATATTCATGAATACTAAAAAGAATATTGCATATAACGATTTGGAAATATATATCGAAAAATAGTTTTACCAAAACTACCAAAAATTATAAAAATCGTCAAAAGTATGATGAAGGAAGTTGCTAAAAGTGAGAAATAGGCGATATTTGAAAAGCATTTCATCGATGATTCCATCAAATCGCTGTGTTTCGCCAATTTATTCTCTGTAATGAAGTTTCTTGTCAATCAACAACAATTAATTCAGTGATTATCACTAATAATCATTCAATTCATAAAAATGCACTATATTCTTTATAATGAAGTTTCTTGTCGATCTTACAACAATTAATTCAGTGATTATCACTAATAATCATTCAATTCTTACAGCAAATACAATATATGCTAGGATTAATAAAAATTTTTAAAAATTTTCTAAAAGAAATGAAAAATGAAATTAAGAGAGTGTATAAAACGATATCGCATATCGATCAATGATAAAGGTTAAAAGTTCATCAAGGTCAGTTAAAAAAAATTTTCTTAAAGAAATATTTTTTAAAAAATTTGTATTTTAAAAAAAATGCATTAATTTTTATTTTTTATTAATAATAAAATTTTAAAATATAAATACAATTTTAACGAAAAATATAAAACAAAAAATTGTTGCAAAATAGAGCAAAAGAAAATTTATATAAAAATCAAATTTCTTATTGAAAATCCAGTTTGATATTTTCTTATAAAAAAAAAATAAATAATTCTAAAGTGTATTCGATATGATCCGATACAATCAAATTTGAATTATGAAAAATTGAACGATGAGCATCGAAGAAGGGCAAAGTCACAATTTATATTTAATTACGTCTTAATGTGGTATTCTGTTAACTTAAAATGGACAAAAAACTTAATAGAAATAGATGGACAGATATTTCAAATGGATTTGCTTATTGTTTAAATAGAAAATATGTCACCAAAGGTCATAGGTCACTTAAAGAATTAATCACTTATCAGCAAATTATGCAAGTAAAAGAATAATTTAAACAATTCAAAAAGTTTAGTTTAAACTTAAACTTAGTAGTGATTTGACGCAAATATATAATGCAACTTTCTTAGTTAAATCTGCAAAAAAAGTGCAAAATGCAAAGCGCAAATTCTTGAAAATGAATTTTCGCAAGTATAAATTTGAATTTTGAACTTTAATTTTATTTTAATTAAGAATTTTGTAGTTTCATTTTACGAAAACTCAATTTTCGATTGAATTTTTCAATTGTATAAATTTATGAATTTAAAAAAAGGACAGAAAAAAGAAGTACCATAAAATTCAACATCGCTAGGTGAATCGAGAACGGTGAGCATACCAACGACGTCAAGTTGAGTATACCTTTTGTTATGATTTTCTTCGTCATTTCTTCTTCTTCTTCCTACTTCATTCGTAACTTCTCGTTCAATTCGACGATTTCTTGGAGTGAAAAAAATAAATTTTATATTTTAGAAAAAAAAATCAATCTCAAAGTTTATACAAACTTCTTTTAACAAATCTTTTCAAAAAAATCGCAAAATAACGATAAAATTTTAAATTTCATATTTGAATAAAAATAAAATAACCGATTTAATACAATAAACAAATAAATAAATAAATACACATATATAAATAAAAAAATATGATATAAATATAAATATAATGCAATATAATACAATAAAATATAACATATATAAAAATATTATATAAAATAATATATATAAAAATATAATAAATAAATATATAAATAATAAACATAAATATATAAATAAAAAAATATAAAAAAAACGTCCTATTTTTTTTATTTTTCTACAAAACAAAGAAACTATAAAATTTTTAAAATCTTTTTATGGATTCAAAATTTTTTCATAAAAAAAATTCGAGTTTCTAGAGGAAAAAAAAAGAGTTTTATAATCACAACGATTAACAAAGTTTTTATTGGTGATTCAGTGCAAAAAAATTTGTGAAAAAAAAAGAACAAATAAAATAAAATGTGTTAAAGGATAATCACCCGTAGTTAACTGGTGGACGCAAAGACGGAGGACTAGCTAATTTCTGTGTTGTTACCGGGAATTCATTTATGGAACGACGAGGTCCAGGAGGATTCGGTTCTATCAAATTCGACAAACGTTCCCCTTTCATTGCATTTGTTTCGAATTTTCTGCATTGATTTAAAGGCTAAAAATTTGCCGTTGAAGATTAGAATATTTTGTTTCATTGCAAGAGAATTTCGAAAAAGTAATATATATATAATAAATCTTTGTTGTAATCACAAAATTCAACAGAGAGAAATAAATTTGAGCAATTTTAATAGCCTATAAAGTGTCGCATAAACGACGATAAGTAATGAAAAAGTCAAAAAAAGGAGAGATTCTTACTGATTCAAAATCACAATTGGCATCCTTTAAACAGAGGCGAATTTGACACGTGAATCGAGTTATGGTTTTTTCAGCGAATTTAAAAACTTGTGTTTTCTGTTAAAAAAAAAAAGAAACATTAACTTTTTCTAAACACAGCCATGAAAATAAAAAACCACTAAATCTTTAGCAATTTTCTGTTTAATTATTTATAGTTTCCAAAGAAGCGTCGTTACTCTTAACTGGAATAAGTCTGTCTGTCTTTTAAAAATGTAGCTGAAGTAGCTGTCTTTTAAAAATGTAGCTTGGTATTTCTATCGCCAAATGCCTCTCTAGCAAAAAATATCTGATCCGACTAAGGCAATGAGCTTACCCAGAAATGATAAGTGCCCATAAAAAAAAAAGGAAAAAAGAAATCAGTTGAAATCCTATTTTCTTATATTACTTGTATAGCCATTCGATGATCAGCTGTATATTCTGGAGTTGGTAGAACATAGTGATCTACACCACAACTGCAAACGAAATTATAAAATAATTAATAATTTATATAAAACAACTTTATTTGGGTAAATGAGATTCACAAAATTCCAAAATTGTTATTGTATTAAAGAATTTTAGCATAATTTAATTTATGAATTTTAGTATAATTTAACCATGCAATTTTTACTTGAATTTTGTTAATGTTTGAACCGGAAAAGTAAATAAATAAGTTAAAATTTATATTAGATTATCCAATTGATAAACCAAGGTTTTCAATGATATAAGCAATAATACCGGATTATTTAAATTTTTTTTTTAAGAGACCTCATTCCACTGGCTTGTCGCATTAGTCAAATATGCCCTTTGCGATGGAAATAGAGGGAAATGAGTAGCCAGCATCACCCGGATTCTTGGACAGGTTTATTCCAGCAGCGAGTAGAATTTTAGTATCGACACGCCGAAATTGAGCAAAGACCCACTGAGCTATTCTACTCCTAATTATTTAAATTTAATTTCTTCAAATCAAATGTTATTAAGAAATAAGTGGCATCAATGAATTTTGAGGAAAAAAATTGGGAAAATCTTTTAAAAATATTACCCGTTATGGTCGATAATGAGAATGCGATTTCGTTCTCCATCTTCCACATAACAATTCTGGACAAGCATAATTGATTCTTCTATAACTTTCCTTTTTTGTATGATAAATTAAAACATTCTTAAGAATGATAAAAAAAAACACTGACAATGAAACACTGACCATCCGAACATTTCCATACATGAAAGACTGTTTCACCAAGTAAGGCATAATGAATTTCTGGCCCATCAATCGATCCTCTTCTTATACTATAGGCACATTTTGGCTGTGATAAGCGAGTTTCAAACTGTGGCTCTAAATCAGCGGCAACTGCTTCACTAAATTTATATTAAAATTTATCTTATTGAAATATAAACTATAAATTTCTTCCTAAATATTTCTTCTTACTAAATATTAAATATTATTTTATCACACTTCTTGGTTATTATCCAATATTCGATTCATAATTCGTATCTATTTGCTATTTAAAAATTTTAACTTTTATGGAACTATATTTTGTAGACTAACCAAAGAAATAAGGCATGCATAGCAAATAAAAAGAAGTACTGAATACATTATCATCTTGATTCATTCTGATATGGAATCACTCATTAAAGAATGCTTATAGTACTGAAAAGTACTCACTCATCTATATTTCTATCTTCAAGTGACCACTTGGAATATTTTTATCCAAATACTCATACAATTATTTCATCCTAATAGCCAACGAAGCGAACTTATCCAGAAACAATTGCTGCAGGATTGTTTGTGTGGAAATACGCTCTGCTGATTGAAATTGAAATATTTTAGGGTATATTTCAGGAATTCTATACCTAATTGCTAATGTTCGATTCAAATTTTCAATTTTATCCGATTCCAAATAAATGCATTGAGCACAATATGATCGATCATTTTCAGTGGCAAATAGTGGATGTAACTGTATGGAAAAACAAATCCGATAGATTATAGACGTTGGATTTACCTATAAATAGATGAAAATTGTAAAAGTTCATCATTTATAAGTATTTTTCATTTAAAAAATCTAAATAATTGATATTTGAGAATTAGAAATTACTGTAAAATGCTAAAACTTGTCGTGTGATATTGTCATAATACGACAATTGCGTTTCATTATCTAAAATTACCAATTCAGACGAACGAAAAAAAAAGATTAAAATCATTTTTAAGAATATTTTTTCTGAAAAAAAAACAATAAGGCAAAAAAATTAATCGAAATAGAAATATTTTGAGGTCAACGAAAATTTCACATATCAATTTCGTTGAAACGTATCGCAACATTCTTTTCAAGAATATTCAAAAAATGAAAAAAATTAAAAAAGAAAACACCGTTTTTTCCTTTGTCATTCCACATTTATCAAGTGGTATATTGATATAATTTAAATTTCTGGATGAACAATCTGGATCACTAATAAACTCATCCACGTAGATATTCGACGGATTTGAAATAGTCGTTTTTACCTAAAAAAAAAAATTTCGAAGTTAATTTTTATCAATTTATCAATTTTCACGAAGTATAATAATTCGATTTTTCAAACATATGCTTAGTTATTTCGAATTGCTTTATATTATATTTTTGGCTAAAATTTAATAAAATAAAAAAGGAAACCTTTAGTAGAATTTTGTTTTGTTCACATTTTACGATTGGAATATCGACAATTTCATTTGGATAGCGAAGATTATTACCGAATTTTAATACAATCTATGAAATAAAATTAAAATAATTAATAAATTAAATGAAAAATTTTTTAAGAAATAGTGAAAATTAAAAAATCTTTGAATGATGTGCTACGTAATAATTTTCCCACAGTATAATTTCTCATAATTTTTGATTTCGACTTAGACTTCACCGACTATTAGATTGGAACTCATCTTGAGAGAATACCAATGACTGCCAGTATCACTAGGACAAAAGTAAGGTTTATTATTGTTAAAAGCCAAGGACTAGACCATCGTGCGTATACATTAATAGTTTAGGCAAAACACCAATCAATCTGTTTTGCTGTCTTAAAGATGCAACAATGATATAAATTAGGTGAGAATTTCCCAAGAAAATGTAAAAACTCAGTAAAATATCCGTAAAATAAGATCCGTAAAATAAGATTTTTTATTTAATTTTTACCATGAAAATAATGATTATTGATCTTTCCGCCATTTATTAGCCCAGTTCAACTGAAAATTAAGTGAAAATAATTAATTGCATACGAATTTACGAATTTCACCGGTAGAATAAGCATTTTTATTCAATTTTTAAAATTTTTCAGTACAATTTTCTAGCAAAAAGAAATTTTCGGGATTTTTTTATGCTAAAAAATTGTAAAAATCAAACAGCAAATACATGATAAATCTTCTTTCAGCTGTTTATTGTCCTCCAAAATAGATAAATTAATATTTGCAATAAATTTCTAGAATTTTCAAAAATATTTGAACATAAAAGAGGAACAACAATTTTGCATTTTTATTTAGTTGTTTTATTTATTTAACGTGGAAAATTTTTCTTGAGTCCTTCAAAATACGCCGAAATGAAAAAATTTGAAAAATGACAATTTTGCAGGCTATCGAAAGAAATACATATAATAAAAGTGAAAATAATTTATGCTAGTGGCATTGGTGACCTTGAATCTTCAAGATAAGTACCAGAAATATATTTCCTACAGTAATTTCTTGTACTAAAAGAGAAAATTTGTTATAATAAAAGTCCAAAAAAAAGTGCTATAAAAACGAGAAGTACCATACGATAAAAGCTTTTCAAGTGACTTTCTAAATGAAGGAATCCGAAAAATTAAAAATCAGATAAATCAAAAAATAGCTTATTAAGATATGAAAAAACTATTAATATCCTTAAAATATATAATGCTTAATTTTAAAATGTAAATATATAAATAAAATGAAGCACAAATACAACGAGATTTTTTATCGAAATTAGTAAATTTTTCGTTGAATGAAACAAATTTATAGAGAAATGTGAAAGCTTTAAACGAATTCGGTCAAGTGGGAAAAACTTGAACCAAATTCCGTTAAAATCACTCCTATAAACCACAAAATTCAATTGCAATATGATGATCATCGCTTTCAATTTACTCTCTACGAGTTTTAATCGTTAAAAATCTCTTGTCGTTTAATTTTTTTAATATTTCGATTAAAATGAAAGAAGACAAATGAAAAAATAACTGATTTTTGCCATCGAGATTTATTCTTGAACAATAGAAAATTCATAATGTTTTAAAACATCATTTTAGTGTTCAATGGTAAGTCCGGCTTAAGTGCATCAACATTCCGATATGAAATTTTTGCATTTTTTTTTTCAATTTTTTCGTTTTGCTCAGAAAAATTTAGTCATTCAACCAACTAAAAATGGTTGAAACGCTATTCTCATTAAGAAATATGAATAAGTTTTTTCTTTCTCGTTTTTCTTTTTCCTCCTCTCTCCAGATTTTTCATAACTAGTTTATTATAGAGATTTATTAAAAGCTAATTTTTTTGTCAAATTTTTGGAAAAAAAAGAAAGTTAAATAAATTACTTAAAATAAATAATTAGAAATATTTCACTTATAAAAGACGACTTTTCGTTGCATAAATTTGGGAAAGGAAAGGCAAATATCTTCTTTTTGCATATTTTGAAAAATTTTAAAGTATTAAGGATCTTTGAAATATGGATTATGGTTCAGTAAAAAAAAAATAAATGAATAATTAGTTAAAATTTTCTAGGCGATATTTTTCAAAGCATTTTTATTGATAATGAAATTAGAAATTAGATTTAATTATAGTGAAAATTTGGTGAAAAGAGAAAATTCTTCTAATAATTCCGACGACCGATTCGTATATTCATAGATATTTCCTGAAATTCTGGAATGAATTTAATGAATTTTAACAAAAATTTCTAAAATTTATTTAAATATTTACTAATTTTATGAAAATCTAATTTTGATTAATTTATTGTGGATGATATATCACTGATAAATATATCGTTTTATAAGCTCTAATATTGCCTTCGATCATTAAATTATGGATTGAGCAAAATCCAAGGAAAGATATCATCTGAAAATGTTATTAATCATAAATAGCTAAATTATCTATTTAAAATAGTTCGAATAGACAAAACCACAGGCTATATTAACTCAAAAAAAATGAACCCATTGAACTAAAAACTCATCTAAAACACCAACTGAGAAATTTAGTCGTAGGCTAAATCGAATTTGTTGAAATGGCAAAAAAAAATCGGTATACGGTGGATGCCGAATTTTTAACGGTGTCGAGTATCCACATTAAAATTGTGGACGAATATGACCGAATTTATTTCAAAATTTTACAGTTTTTCGCGCTTTTAAATAAATGAATTCTGAACTTTGGGAGAAGAATTTAGGCGTTTGTTATCCGGAAGAATTGGACGGAATATTGGATGCTTTACAAGGGACTGCAAATTGTTGCAAATTTAATCGTTGGGGTTCGTTGGTCGCCGTTGGAAGTATCGATGGGCGAGTTTTTATTTATGACGTTATCACGAAAGGAGTTGTTAAGGTTTTCTTTTAAAAAAAAACTAATCCTATTTTTCAAAATGTTTTTTTTTTGCGTCTAAATAGAAATAGAATGGTTGTGGTTTAATGAATCGTTCAATCATCACAAAAATCCGAAAATCACGAAAATCCGCGCCTATATAGCCGCGATTCATCCGATCTATACGAAATACGGCTGCGAGACTACCAACGAGAGTGGAAGATATTAAGAAGGCTATCTGCCTTTGACCATTCATATTTAAGGTTATTTTTCGCCAGTTGTGGTGCATTTCTTCTTCGTCCACCGCAGGAGTTGACGCATATTTCATTGCTTGCTAAATCCTCTGATGAATGGCATCAAAAGCGAGGATGGCCAACCAGACCTGAACTGGTACTTGAACAGGCCTGAACAGGAAAGATTTTCCCAGCGATATATGGAGATAAACGATTAGAAAGGGAATGGCTTCTATTACTATCAGTGATGGCATCAGATCGCACAGCTTGGAAATGTCTTGTCGTTGTGGCCAGCGGAGCCAGTAATGGTGAGAGTTGTTAGAAAAAAAAGGCTTTCTGGCAAAGTCTATTTGGCCTAACAAGACAGCAGAGCAAGTTTAGCCATAAATGACCAGTCATAGAAAAAAAAGGCTAATTATTTGTTTAATTTTTTTTAAAAATTTTTAACAAAAATATTTGTTTTTATTTTTAATAATTCATTGTATATTCTCATAATACTCAACATTTAGCTCTATTGGTTTCTGATTGGACTTCTAGAATATGTTGAGAATATGTTTTGGATTTTTAGGAAAAGAAAAAAGCAAAGATTGCCAAAATCGAGTGGAGAGTATATTGCTTTAAATGTTTATAGGTTCTGTCCCTATCTATGGACGACAATAAATTTGTCGTTAATAAAGTCGAAATAGAGCTGAGCAGCTGTTTATACTGCCTATATCCTTGATCTGGGAAGATTCTATTGGCAAAGGGGTTTCATCCTAATAGCTAGTGGAGATGGCAGAAATGGTGAATGATGCTGAAAGAAAGGAAGAAGGTTATCGATAAATAAATTTTTTAATTTCAGACATGTGGTAACCATGGTGTACCAATAACTTCTTTGAGTTGGTCAAGGAATGGTCGAAAATTATTAACAGCGTCGACAGATTGGTCGGTTGTGATTTGGGATGTCTTGGAAGGTGCACGACTTGAACGTTTTGTGTATGGAAATGCTGTTATCTCAGCGATGTTCAACCCACGGTCTTTTTTTAAAACTTCTCAAAAGATTGCTAATAACCAATGCGTAAGGCGAACAAGGTTTTATAACTAAAAATTTTTCAGCGACGATAATCAGATTTTGGTGGTATACCTCAATGGTAATAATCCTGTTGTGGAAAATGTTATCGAACATCAACAACGTGAGGTTAGTACTGTTCTTCCGAAATTTATGCTCTGACGATACCGTTGTGTTTTCCATTTTAGATATATAAGAAATATGATTCCAGAAAATTTTCAGTATGATTTTCATAGATATGTGAAAACAGCATAAATTAACTTAAAGTCACTATTAATTAAGAAGAAATTTCGGTTCATGCTAACCAAGATCTCAAGCTGTTAGCTTTGTTAGTTATTACTTTTGTATAAAATCTTAAATTGCATTTTTTTTGCAGTTTTTATGCTCTTTTACAGATTGCATTTCCAGCAACAACGGATGATACAGTAGGAGATATACTAGTTGCTACATTTGATCGTCGTGGCAAATATATTGTTACAGGAAGTAGTAAAGGTAGAATTGCCTTTTATGATTCTAAGACGGTGAATTTAGTTACGCACATCAAACAAGGAAATTCTTTTCACCAAGTATCAATTTTCGCAATTTTTGGCTAAAATCTATCTTTCAACTTGCTAAATTTTTGTAATAAACTACTGTAATTTATTTAAAACCAAGAGATTGATGATTAATTTTTTTTCTTTTTGTAGAATGAATTTTTATTGAAAGTAGATTACACTTAGATTGATCTTGTTATATAAGCTTTTCCATAGATTCTTAGAATATAACATTATTTTTGCAAAATTTTCTTTTAAATATTTTTTTTTCCGAAGTTATTTTCTTTTTTATTCGTCATTATTTATTTTGATTAATTACTTGATTAATCTGATAATTCCTGTTTTATTCATCTTATTTTATAGCCATATTTTGTAGATTAAAAATATCGTATTGTCCTGTCGACATGATTTTTTAATTACCAATTCGCAAGATCGTATAATTAGGACTTATAACATGAACAATTTGCTAAAGCGTCCTCCAGGCTCTGTCGTGGAACCCATGCAGAAATTATTGGATATTGTTAATCGAGTGTGTTTATATTTCATTTTTCATAAAAATGTTCTAAGAATTGAAAAAGGATGTTTTTTTCTTGGATAAAGTCTATTTTTTAGGCATCGTGGAAAACAATATGTGTTTCAAACGATGGTGATTATATTTGTGGAGGTAGCGCTAAAGGTCATTCTTTATATATCTGGGAGAGGAATTCTGGTAGTTTGATCAAAATTTTGCATGGAACAAAGGTTACAATTATCGCTTAATCATATTAGGAAATATTTTTATTAACGTTGCTAATATGGCTTTATTCTTTGTTTAGTTTAATTAGATATACATATATATATATATATATACATATTTCTATTTTATCTGCTTTTGACGTGCTTAAAGGGCGAAGTTTTGCACGACGTACAGTGGCATCCAACACGTCCAATTATTCTTTCTGTGGCTCATGGTATTGTCTCTGTATGGACCCAAGTAATAATTTGAATATTACTTTATTATTTTTTAGAGTAATATTATTTTTAAAGACTATATGTCGATTGGTGATTTTGAGGCACACGTGGAAAATTGGAGTGCTTTTGCTCCAGATTTTACTGAACTTGAAGAAAACACCAAGTATATTGAGAAGGAATCAGAATTTGATTTGGAAGATGAAGATGCTAGTAATGCCGAGGAGAATTCAGTGCAAGTTTGTCGATTTACTTAATAGAGATCATAACGAAATAAAATTCAATAAATTCAATAATTCAATTTATTATTAACTTTTTATAAGAAATTTCTTCGAATTTTTTTCCATTCGCTTATTTAATTTTTTTTATTTTGATAAAGGCAAAGGCAAATTTTTCAGGAAGACGATAATGAAATTATCAATGTTATAGAAATGAAGTCGTCAAATACATTTTATTGTAGTTCAGATGAAGATAGTGAAAGCAGCATGCGGCCAAATGATCTCAGTTCGAAAACTGGTCCTTTGTGGTTTATTCCTATTACTCCAGAAAGTGAAAGTTTTGATGAAAACGTTTCAGTTAACATTGGTAATTTTATTTAAAAAAAAACTTTTGCTATATATCCGCCCTATAACAAATTATTTTCATTTTCATTTTTTTATTTTTCGAACCACCTGAAATATTTTTAAAAGAATATGAATTTTTTAAATTGTCTTATTTTTTCAAAGCACTTCTTTTAACTATTTTTTGAAAATTACGATTAAGCAGAAGAACATTTTGAAACTGGCTTATTTAACGATAATCAAAAATAATAAATTCATCAAAATTAAGCACTGTCGAAATGTTTTGTTTTTCACTTTTTTTAATATTTTTCTAGATGTTTTTATTTTATTGTTTTCTTTTTCTTTTTTTAAATAAGAGTATTTTTATTTAATTTAGATGGCGATAATAATGCTGGTCAAGATGTTGACGCTTCAGGTATTTTTTCTAGTGCCCATCATTTTTATTCATATTCATATTTCATATTTTATCTATATATTTTTATTTATCTTTCTAGGGAACAGGAAAAGACAAACCATTCAACCTCCTTTAAAAAAGCATCGTAAATTAAAATAAACTGTCGAATGATTTATTCTTGCTTCCATTGAAACAAAAGTTACTATGAAATCGCGGAAAGTAGATTAATTATTTTCGATTTCAATGCAGTGAATCTAGAACGACTGATGATTTATTATGGAACGACTAGAAAGAAAAATGCCAACAAGAGAAAAATAAATATGGATTGCTATTTTGAATTGATTCCATAATTCAAAAACTCTGGAATTATCAATTTAGTAGCGATAATCAAGAATAGTAAAATGGGATTAATTCGACAGCACATATCAGCTTGACAAATCGTTTATTGTAGCAATTTTTGTTTCACTTATTGTTTTTTTTTATTTGTTTTTTATAACCTTCGAGTTTGGATATATATTATATATATTACATCTTATTTTATATTTGTATTTATGCATCTTTATACTCTGTATTTTTTATTATAATTATTATAATAAATTTCAATTAATATTCTGCATCACTCCTTTATATCTTGATATTTCAAGCATTCCTTTAATGCTTTCAAACCAAAGGAAATATAAACAATAGCTGTGTTGGTATGTCGAATTAGAGGAATTATAATTATTTCCTATAATTATTTCATCTTTTATTTTTGAAATTCATATCGAAATTCTTACTCTTTCTTCGCCTTTAGATTTTACTCATATTTACTTTTTTCTAATTATCTTAAAATTAAATTGTTCAACATCAGCAAAGAATTAAAGGTGTATAGATGAATCGACGTGATAAGATATGGCACGAAGTGACTGAGTTTTTAATTTAATTTTAATTTTCAGTTGGCTCAATCCTTTGGAGTTATAATTTTTCCAGGTGTAATAAGGAAAATATCGAAGGGGTTCGGTTCTAGCAATTTCAAGTCGTCATATCCGTTCTTTTTGCCTTAATGACGAAATCGTGTTTTTTTTCGGGCGCAGCCAAATTTTAAATTGATTAAATCATTGCAATATTATTTATATTATTAAATATTATTAATAATTTGAAAACCTTTCGAAATCATTTCTTGTGGAGGATTATTTCATATTTCTAATTTTATATTTTATATTCGTTATTTCATATCGCTATTAATAAGAGAGGAATACAATAAATAGCTCAATGAATAATGAAAGGCGAGGATTCCTGCATGACAGGAATACCTAACTTTAAAAGGCTGAGTGACGCTGACTGTCATATATGATTTTCTCGTTAGATTAGCTGGACTGTGATTCTAGGAATTTTCACGGAAGAGTTACTGCAGTGAATTCGTGGAATATAAAAATTTTATCTCCTCGTTATTATTTTAAAATTCCTTTTTTACCAGATAGTTCTTTAAAATTTGTTCGTTGACATTATATTGCATCATATGAAATAAAATTATAAAAAAAATATTTCACCAGTATGAACATCATAAACAAATAAATATATATAAAATTCCCTTTCTCACCCACCTATAGGTGGTATGAGTCGTCCTCAATCTCGAGTTCTCTACCAGAGGTTTGGGAAATTGCCGAGAGGCAAATAAGGTCTAGCCCAAGGTCCCTCACTGGAAAGGGACCTAGTAAGGATTGGATGCGATTCGAACCATTGTTGTTACATTCCATATCCCCGCACTAATCCACTTTAGATATATATACATAAAGTGCAAAAGGTTTGGTTTTCACAAAAGCCAACTGTTTTTAAAGATCAGATACTTATTAAACATAGCGCTAAGAAATAAATGAATTGAGGGTTTGTGGTTTATAATTTACACCAAAAGAACGGTAGGCCAGGAATCGGAGGATTAGATGTCCTTAGACAAAAAAAACGGCAAATAACAATTACATCAAAAACATTAATTATATATTATACAAGATAGATATATACATTAAGTATAGCAAGGTTTTCTATTATATTAATATTTCTATTCAATATTTTTAAATTTATGCATATCATGTATAAGGCAGTTAACAAATCCGAGTATCAATATTATCAAATCATACTTATCTAAAGAAAACAAGGAGAATTGATAAATTGATAAGTGATTTATGTTTGACAATTATTTTCCTCATTTGGAGAAATTCTTAACGGTGAAATTGACGCATCGCTATAATGCGTACAATCATATCTAAGAAATTTCGAATCTGATGAGGATTTTTTACGATTTCCTAAAAAAGAAAAAAATGATAAGAAGTTTTCCTTTTTTTTTTTTAAATTCTTATTTTATAAATCTCAGCTTATATCAGAAATAACGAAACGAAAAACCTGAATTAGACGATGACATTGTTAGATCTTCGAGTGATTTTCGATTTGGACTATTTGCATGAAGTATTCGTAGGCTATTATAAAACGGCCTTTTTGTTGTAAATGGTGAAGATATCTGAGATAGAGTGCTTCTTTTGCGGCGCTCGGTATTCGCTCTAAAATTACGCCCTATAAAACTGGTTTAATGCGAAATGAATCTTCTAATGCCATCATTGTTTGAATTGAAAACTGAAGCTAAATCATTGGCAATTTAACGAGTAATTTAATAGATGGAAAGATAATCATGGATTGTTGATCAAATTATCGTCACGAGTGTCAAAATTTTTCAGTCCTACATTTCCGACAGCATTAAGAAACTTCCTATTTCCTCTATACTTTCCTCCCCCCCCCCCCCCCGCCTTACGAAAGTTCCTCATAATACAAATAATCAATAAATCAGATACTTAATAATCTTTTTAATGCAAATAATTTTAACTGATAATAATTTTAAGTAATGCTAAAACGAAGAAAAAATTGTTGCATTTTATAGTTTACCTTACGAGCATTTGTAAATCTTTATTCATAGCAGCATATAATATCCAATTAAATGCCGAATTTACATACGTTAACCAGCTAATTACTAATGCAAACCAATTTTGTAAATATTTTGAACTACTATTTGGATTATAGAGCAAACGAACTGATACAGTAACCATTGAGAAAATCTAAAAATTTTTAAATGAAAATTTTTATGCTTATTCTTGGTTTATCTATGGCAATCGCTAGAAAAAGATTTACTTCATTTGATAAAAAATAAGAAATGATAGATGGCAACCAGCATATAACGTGAAAAACAGCCACACGAATAATGGTCGATGTCATTTGTCGCATATATCGAGGAGGCGAAATTACTTTGCTATGGTTTCCTAAATATTTCAATTTCATATTAATATTAAATTTTTGTGGAATTAATTTCAAGAAGGCATGGAAATTAAGAAAAATGATAGTAGAATCAGTAAAATTAATATTAAAAAATTTTATAGATTATTTTATAAATGAAAAATGGTGATAAATGAACAATGATAATGGTGTTTTCAATTTATTATTTGAATACTTAAAAGTCTTTAGGATTATTCAATAATAAAAAAAGAAGAAATTATAAATGAATAGAAGACTAGCCTCTAGCTTTTCGCTTTGAGAACTTCCTTCTGACATGTCTTACGATTTGACCATAATTAATACTTACAATAGCTAATAATGAAAGAAATATTATAGCAGTTATTAAACGAGCTATAAAACCAGATAAATAGACAATTCGTAAAGTACAGTCAAATTGATTATCAGCTAAAGTGATTGCTTGAAATTCAATAAATAAGGCAGCCAATGTTATTAAATAAATTATTACGGCAACGCAAGGAACGATCAAAAGCAATTGTTTTCTTATCTGAAAAATAAAATGTATGAAGAAAAGAGTGAATTTTCATGTTCATGAAGCATAGTGGTACTTCATCTGATGGTCTAAACTAGGAATCTATGGCCTTTGCGGCTTCTCTGGATCGCAGATAGTATGGTCAAGAGGATTGGACTTAAATGTAAAATTATGCCAGCAATTAAAAAAGCATAAGGAATATTCTCACAAATTATAGTTAAATCGTAGGAATTAGACTAAGGGATTCGCTCGGAAAAATTTCTCAATGACCAGAACCTCCAGATGGCATTTTTTAAAAGATTTTATTATATAACATGGTATTTTTAAAAGGCAGTTTGGCTGTACATAATTGGGAAACTTTCATTGTACAATTCACTGAGATGCTTTCATGAGGATTAATGGTACTCTATTTTGATGGATTCGGATTTTTAATTGATACAGATTAATATGTTCTAATTAAGGAAAGGTAATTGCGTAGGAACAAATTATTATACAACTGCATCAACTGCAGAATAGCTTTTATTGTACACACTTGTAGACATTTCTATCACTAACTGACTTCCCAGCAGAAATTTCTAATCGCATTTAAAATCAGCGGAGCTAGTTTTGCTAGAAATGATTGGTTTTCGAACCACTTATTGACTTTTTTCACCCCGCTAATCAGTATTCAAAATTTCGTACAGGTGTCGAGATTTCTCTATTGTTCACTTAATTTCCAAAGCGATGAACAACCAAATGGAATTTTAGGGATTTTTTAGATTATTTTCAATGAATAGAAGATTTATTTTAATGCTTTTCCTTTAAAAAAAGCATTTAAGATGGATGAGACTAACTTCGCTGTTAAAAGGTTTCCTCACAGTAATATAACGTTCCACGCTTATACATGCAAGACAAGTTAATGAGGCTAACTTCGCAGGATGTTCAATAATAAAATTCAATCGACAACCAAAATCTAAAAGATATAAACAAGTGAAAGAAGTACCAAGTGATAGAATAAAAAAAATTATTCTTAACTGGTTTTAATTGGTTAATTTTTCGTTAACTTGTTAATTGAGTTTCATAATTTTCTAACTGAAAATTTCTAGTCCTAATTCTTTGGCGAAAGAGTCCACCTTAGTAATTAGGAAAATTAGCCAGAAAAAAAATTAGAAAAAATAAGTTTATGATATCGATGGCGTCCGATTGAACAGCTTGGAGATATTTTACGCTTATAGCCAGCGGTGTTAACTTAACCAGTAATGGTGAAAGTTGTTCAAAGAAGATGGGACATCCTTTAAAAACTATAAAGATATTGCTTTAAAGTAAACATTGGAAGCATAATTTCAAGCGATGAAATCTAATCTTTTTATCACTAAAAATTTCAAAAAATTCTTAAGAATAGCGGTTAAAACAAATTTCCTTTCCCCGCAGTACTCATAAATTATAGTTGTACTGACTATTAGAATGTCGAACTTTCACCAATAAATTATATGATGAAAACATAAGTAGTTCCCCAGCACCATTTGCACTTGACTTTGATAAAATTGATAAAATTGATAAAATTTAGTCTTATGAAAGGCAATGTGCAGATTTTTTACGCTGCATTATGCAAATAATTTTTATGATAATAAATTTCGTAATTTCGCCCATTTTTTTTCTAAGAACGTAGTTTGTACCGGATAAATCTTTCCAAGGAGTCATTAACGACATAAAATTATAAGTGAATTTTTATTTGCACCATTCGGACCTTTGAAAAAAGGACCTTTATTACAGTTGGAATAACACTCCAGCATCGGCGCTAGGAATTGAGAGCAATAATATATTAAACCATTCCAACTTATTTCATGCTTGCGATAATTTTTTGTTTAAACATTTTGTTAGTTTTTTTATCATTGTTAATTGTTAATTGAAATATTGTTAATTATGCTTTGCTTTTTTTTCCTCTAAAAATGTTCGTATGAAAATAAATAAATATAAATGAAAATTTTTCAAAAAAAAACTTTTATGGATTTATCCATCAAAAATAAATTTTTGATAAATTTGATTCGAAATTCTAACCAAAATTCAGATTCGATGTGGAAATAAAAATAATTCGTGAGATTAATGTTAGTGTTACAATTAAATCTATAATAGCGAGTATTGAAATGTATATCCTAAGTCGATCGCTTGGCGACATTCGCATAATATTATTATATGGTCGTCGATTCCTTAGTACGGTACCAATTGCCCATAAATTTCCACAAACTCCCACTTTTACAGTTAGCACATATGCGCTTGCCAATAAATACGTTTCCCACATTATAACATCTAAAAATATTCGTAAGAATTTATCCATGTTTTGAATTTCACAATTATTATGAACACAGAAATGAAATGACGCAGTGGGTTGCGAATTATTCCAATATTTTCTTCTTAAAATTCGAATATAATAATTAATTTAATCTAAAATTTATTATATAATATATTATTTGCGAGGCATATGACTCAATGGCTCAATGAATTGTTGTTCAGTTCGGGAGCGCCGAAGCTGTGATTCTATTCCCTGCAAGAGTAAACCTGTCCAAAAATCCAAACGATGCTAATGACTTACCTCTTATCACAAGGTACTCCACGGCATACTGCAATGAGCCAGCGGAGCGAATCTAATCAGTAATGGTGAGGGATCTTAAAAAAAATATTTTACTTGCTAAATGTTTGAGGATTTAGCCAAATTAGATAGGCTATTCTAATTCTATTAGTCACTGCGGTGCATTACAGAAGATATCTATCCACACTGCTTGAACTATTCTAATGATTATTCTATAGTTTTTTATCTTATCAGATCTTCTCGATACTTAATGAGCTTTCTTTGCAACACTCCCTTGTTTTACCGAAGATCGAACCACCAAATGAATAAAATGGCGTTGTTGTGATTGATTAAGTAAAAATTATTGTATTATTTTTTCTTCATAAAAATCATAAAAATGTTTTTTTTGCATAAATATAAATATTTAATAAGCATAAATAAATATTAGCATTACTATAAAGCGCACGAATTAAAAAAATAATGAAAATACACCATATAGTAGTGGTGAAAATATCGTAAATATTAATTATAACAATTATTTGGATTTTGGATTTAACATCGACGATGAAAAATGAGACCGCAAATGTATGAAAGTTTCGCGAATATTTTGCTGAAAAATTGAAGGAATTAAGATAATAAATATAAATTCTTCTCAGCTGATTATGCTTAAGAAGTAATACTTACTAACATTATAGAAAGTCGCATGCAGAATTGTGAAGTACAGAAACCTCTCAATGGCATATCGAAACAACAATCATTTCTACTGGCTACTGTAAGTACATTATGATTGGTGAGTCTAATGAAGGACTGCATTTGCCTTTGAACTGCTTGCTTATCTAAGAAGTCACAGAAATGGAGCATATGGCTGAGCATCTCAACGATAAATTGATTATATAGGGAAGAATTTGGGTTATAGCTGGATGAAATCATAGGATATGTAATACATATTTGATTCGATAAGCATAGCTCGTAAATAGTAGTCATATTTTATTTTGTATAAGTATCACTGCAAGTATAAAAACCGTTCGAGAATATCAGTGATTTTGGATGTATTTATGGTTGAAAGCATTGGCCATGTGCTCTGATGGTGGCTGTTTGATAGGCGACGGTTATAAAAGATTATAGGCACTTATTCAAAGCAAAGCTCCAAATTCATTGTGCGCTCACTGCAACAAAATATCTTTTTCCCTTCCACACCTCCTTCCCCCCCCCCCCCACCTCCCCCAACCAGCTCACTTCCCTCTCGCTGAATATGGTATTAAGATATGTGATGAATGCGCTAAAATTTTTGAAATTCGACCGATGATAGCAAGGTTTTACAAAAAATGTGTGAAGATGAAAAAATTGTGTGGGAGCAGAATATATACCTTTGTCATAATATTGCCCTTCACGATGTGACTCTCTGGTGACAATGTATTGTCCGCCTCAACTAAATTACGGTGCGAAATATTTTTTTTCTTTTTTTTTGAATACGAGTATGTCACTTTATGAGAATAGATTTTCCGTTGAAATTTTTGTATTTATATGATATCCTTGAGAAATTAAATGCCACTGCAAGGGAAGGAATATTTACATCACAAAATTGGTTAAAAAAAATTCCAAAAAGAAATTGCGAAAATTATTAAAAATTGAAGAAATAAATTGTGATAGTGAGAAAAATGAATGACAAGGATTGTTTCTTTCTCGTTGCAATAGTTTATCTCCAATGAAGTTGATTTTTTTTTCAAAATATAAATCTAGTTTTGATGAACATATTTCATAATTTATCAAAAAAGAAGGTAGCGTCGACATGAATTCGCATGGATTCTTTCAAGGGTCAAAGCTCCAATCAAATTTACTTGTCCAAAAGATGAAAATCTTATTGCGCTATTTTATAATAATACATTGAATGATACAAAATTTTAAAGCATGAAACTGAGTGTTAGTTATCAGTAAAAGACGAAATTACGTTAATAATTGATAAAATTTTAATTCTATTTCCGAGGTCATATTTATGCAAAGTTGAATTCTCCGAGGTCGTAGTGATTACAAATAAATATTTTGTGATAATCAACGTGAAGTAGGGAATGAAGGAGATCGTGTCGATTGTGCTTCCAAGATTTGAGAAGATATGCAAAGAACAACTGGCTTGTCTGTCTCACTCATTAAAATTTATTTATTTCATTCTATGAATATTCTAAAAATATAAATGCTTATTAAATTTCAGAGGTCTTTGAAAGACGAGTTTCATTTATTCATTATCATTTATCCAACAATCTAACTGGCACAAATAAATTGCGTATTTGCTACTGCTAAATAAATTTGATTTGAAGTACCATGGAAGTATTTTGGTATTTTGATATACTAAGGGTGCCATAAAGCCAAAAAATTTTCAAAGAACCATAAAATTAAGAAAAATTTGTTTTGCTTCTTCTAGACATAATTATTGCTTACCACTTTAATTAGTTTCGCTCCACTAGCTTGTCGGATCAGATAATTTTTGTCATGGCGAAAACGATATGGCTGGGTCGGGTCATCAGCATTCGGATTGATAGGTTACAGAATTGCAGATTTAAAAAAATGAAAAATTTACTTGCAAGGAGTAGAAATTCAACTTCGCCGATCCAAAATGAAGGCAATTTTCTTGGCTCTTCTATCCTCTATACTTCATTCATCTGTTTGATTGCTTCTTAATGCAAATAAGGAGGAGGAAAACTAAGTGGCTAGTAACTCAAATCATTATGTGGTTCGGTTCCACTGGATGATAGTAAACTTATTATTAAAAAATCTAGGCGACCGACTTTTACTTTTCTCTCTAAATTATTCGGTGGCGAAAATTTCTAACTTACCAATAACCAGCGAGTATAACTAGAAATGCCGAATGCCGACCATATATTTACTTACTTTTATTTATTTTTGATATGAATTTTTTTGTGAATTATAATAGAAAATTTTCTACAGACAATGATAAATTTTCGCAAAAAATTGCACGAATTTAATCAGATTTACAGACTTAAAAAAGAAAGTAAATTAAACTATTTTCAGACATTTATTTTAATAATAATTTTTAGACGAAACAAACGATTTGAAATTAATAAAAAAATTTCATTCATTATTTTATGACGACTAACAGAAATTGATAATATTGATAATATTGATAATATTGATATTGACAACAATAACAAATATGCAAAAAACAAACGATAATTCTGGAAGTTTTTCTCAGACTATGGTTGAAATTTTTGGTTTACATTTTTTTTTTCATAAATGATTGATTATATTGCAGGAAAATATGGATAAATCGAAAGAATTTCAGACTTTTTTTTCGCAAACATTTATAAGAAAAATAAGCATTGATTCAAATTTGAGAAAATTCTAAATAAGTACAATTTATTTAAAAGCATAGAATTTTTAATTAATTTTTTTTTTTTATTTTCAGGAAATGAAGCGATTATTTTGTTTTAAGAGACAGAATGATCATATGGACATATTGCTTCAATTAACATTAAGTCATTATTATTAGTTGCTACACTTAGTTGACGGAAGTGAGCATTAAAAATGAAATCCTAGTCTAGCTGCCTAATCCATTTGAACTTCTATCCCCAAGCGATTTCGTATTAAAGGAATATTATTCTAACAGTCGATTAAATTAGCCTAATTATAAATGTTAAATGTTAGAAGTGCTAGAAAAAAAAAAGTTATTCGATTATTCGAAAAATTAGAGTTCGATCATTCACAATCATTTGTTTTCAACCAGCATCACTGCAAAAAAGACCAAAAAATTAAAAAGGCTCAATTTGTAGCCAAGATTTTAATAAGCCACAATATATTTTAATTTCAATAATATTTTTTTTTTCTAAGAGAGCTCTATTTTTGGCTAAACTCTCTCCACAGGGCTTTTCACACCAGGCAAATTTTGCTAGAGAGTCACTTGGCAACAAAAATACGCTAAATCGTTTATCCAGATTTTTGAAAGATCGATTTACTCTTGCCGAAAATAGAACCTCAATATCGGCATTTCAAAATGATAGTATCAACCCATTGAGCTATTCTGCTATTCCAGAAATGTTGTGTATTAAAATTGTAATTTTTACATTATTATTCTTTTCAGACAAATAAAAACAGGAAAAATGATTAGTCAGAACAAATAAAAAAATATTTTTGTTCTCCATTTAAAATTCCTTTGAGACAATGTACATTTATAGTAAATTATATTAAGGATTGCCGAGTTTTATCTCCAAACAACATACTCAACAGCCTTTAATTATTCCTATAAATTCCATTCCAATTTCTATTTATTTATTCAAAATCTATTTTTGTTTTTTTTTTCATATTTTCGTTAATTAAATTTAATATTATTAATTTTCGAACGGAACAACTTTTTGTTGTCATAAAATTTACCATTGATGATTTAAATGCAACGGTTTATGACGAAATGAATGCACTAAAACGATTTTTAATAAAAAAGAATTTTTTAACAGAAAGCAAATATATTAAAAATTCATCCAGAAAATAAAATAATTTTGATGCCCTCCACAGTGATATATGGGCTTAGATGATGAAAAAAAAGAAACAGTGCTATTTATTATTATTATTATTATCAGTTATTATGGTATTAGATTAAAAGGGATCGAAATACCTCAGTGAAGCCAGTGGAGCAAGAACCTGAGCAATTAGTAATCGTGCGAGCTATTAGATGGAGAAAAAGAAAGAAATAAAAATTTTGCTAAAAAAAAATTCATTTAATATTATTT